CATGCACGACATGGTCCGTGAATAGGACGTTACATGATTTGGACATTAAGTGGCATCATATTAAAACCTCATGGGAGCCCACTTCCAGTCCCTGTTGGCACTGCTCTGCCCCCTGCTGCTTCTGGAGCTGCTGGTGGAGGCCCCAGGAACATGCCGTGGGAGCAGCATCAGTTGAGAGGGTGTTGGTGGGAGTGGAGCAAGAAGGAGGGTGTGAGGGGGAGCGGAGCACGCCCAGCGCTGCCCGCCGTGCTGCTCGCCTGGGCAGCAGGAGCAGCCTGGGCCCACAGCCCCTGCCACCGCCCGCCTGCCTGCCCGCCCACCAGACAAAGCCTGAGAGCCTGGGCCCAGAACCATGTTCTCTGCCTCGCCTGCCTGTGTCCCATCTGTGGTCCAGTGCTGCACGCTCTGGGTTTTAGGGTCTTTAAAACAATTAGGGAAAATTAGTAAACAGAAGGAGAGAGAATATTCCTTTAAAAACGTCGAAAACAACAGTATGATGGGACCATGGACTTGTATGTGGTCGAACATTGGACATTGCCCGGACGTTGAGTAGTGCAAACCTGCACTGGCTTCTAATGACCTGATAGCACAGGAATTTATGGTCACTGGTCAAAGGTTCTGCTACTCAGTGGCTCAGAACTTGGTCAAAGCCTGGCTACCCCGCTACTGAGATGCTTCAAGATTTGTAGAAGTTTTGAGCTAAACGGGTCTGAGAGATCATCTAGTCCTTAATTTTTCAATGTCTCTTCACAGTAGAATCTTTCGTTTCAAACGAGATCCCACAAAGAGCCCCCTTATCAATAAAACGGCAGGTAAAAGTGGTCTGGTATCAGCACCAGCTTTGTGTGTGTTGACATGTGGGTGCTTATTGCTAAAGCAATCCATCAAAGGAGTGATTCGCTTTTGCTGAGAAGCAAAAATAAAAGTTAGATTTTGAGGATGAAGTTGGCAGAATTGTACCGTCCTTAGCTCCTGACAGTGCCCCCCACTGGTGCAAGCTGTTTTTGAAGTACCAGGAAGTTTTGATTTATGTAGATAAGCTGTTTCGAATGCTGACGGCTTGGAAGTCACTCAGTCTTTAACATCAGGATTCCCTTTAATTAAGCAAACACACTAGTAGAAGCTCCATTCAATTTCACAAAGCCGTTTAATGTGGCATCCCAAATTAAAGGGCCGGCCATTAGAAAGACAGGAGTGGTTTTTCTCTTATTACTAAACATGGTATTAAATATTATTAAAACAATTTGGAGATAGTTAAGAAGAAACACACATACTCTTGCTGCAGCATCTTCAGGGAGCCTTGGGCCCTGGGGGACGTCTGACACCAGAGCCTGTGTCCAGAGAGGCCCAGAGGCGGGAAATTACGTCTAGCATGGAGGTGGGGACTGCAGTTAGTTTCCAGGGAAGGCACAAGTCAGGGGGCAGACTGCCCTGAGGATCCCTGGTGAAGAGGCCCACTGGGTACTGGGCTGGGGTTAAGGGAGGGCCCTCGGTCAGCACCGGGTGGAGGAGTGGTCAGGGCATGGGGTCTGGAAGGTCTTCTGGGGGGCTGGTGGGAACCGGGGCAGGCCGGTGAGGGCCGAGGGGCTCCACCTTGGTCCCTGCATGGAGGCCTCACAGGCAGGGCTGCAGGGCTGTTCACCGCGTCCACCTCTCGCTCCTGCTTCTGCCGAGTTGTGAGGCCGACTGCCTTTGGTAACATGGCCTGTGGGGTGGCTTCACTGGGCTGTGTGTGTCATCGTGGACATGCATGATTGGCCGCGATCTTACCAGTCCCGCGTCCGTCTGATGGAATACGATGCTGTTGCCCGTTGTCGCTGAACTGGCTCAGACCCATGGTGGCCACATGTGCACAGGAAGAGGCGTGGCCCGCTCCTGCGCGTCTGCGCGGCGGCTGGTGCTCACGTCCCTGGCTGCGGCCGCTGTGTGTTCTGTGCTGCGACCCCGGGGCTCCTCTTCCGGCGCGGTGTCGCTCAGTGCCCCGCTGTGATCCAGAGCGTTCCACTGGCTGATTTTCTCCGCTAGATCCCGGGCCTTTCGTCCTAGGCTCTCTCGGGCTGGAAGCCCCGCTGAAACCGGTCCACCGCCGGGGACCCTGCTGGTGTTCGGAGTAACAGAGGCAGAGGTTCCAGCCTCACGGCCACACGCAGGCCACCCCGGCCTGACGCTGGCAGACGGGTGGTGGGGGGAAAGTCATACGTGTGGCTGTTAGGCCGACTTGTGTGCAAACGTGTGCAGACATGTGCACGCGTGCCCCCAAACTACAGCCCGTGCGAAGTGGGCCTTGTGGGCAGGGCTGCAGCACCCCTCCCCCCACTGACGGCTGCCCTGCTGACTGCTACCCGCCAGGCAACAGGCAGATTTATTCGATGCAAGCTCAGAGCTCTGCGTTGGGTGTTCTGAGTGGAGAAAAAAAAAAAAGCTGATTAGAAGGCCTGGTTCTTTCCCTGTGAACCTTCTAAGTTGGTTGGGGGTCTTTGATGAATTATTGATCTTATAGGGCCTCTAAAGCTGCTGAATCAGGCCCCAGACCCGCTGCCTGCCCTGCCTTGGCAGGTTTGAAGTGGAAGTCTGTGCGGTCTGGCCCCCCTGCACACACTGCCTGTCATTAATTATCTATTCAGACTCTTGAAGGGCTGTGACTGGACTGCCACTGGCCCGGCCAGGGCTGCTCTGTGGGTTTGTTGCGATGGAAGCTTCCTTTCCCTGTGTGTGGGCACACGGAGAGCACAGTCCCTCAGGGTGCACGGTCACTGGAAGGAAGGTGAGCAGGTCCCTGTGGGTCCAGGGCACATAACCAGTGCAGGGGCAGGTGGGCTGCAGGCCCAGGGTGCACAGGCCAGTGAAGGGGCAAGTGGACAGGTACCTGAGGGCCCGAGCTCGAAGCCAGTGCTTCCTGCTGATCCAGGGTCTCAGAAAGGGCTCCTTCTGTGGGGCAGAGGGGTTGGGACGGTTGCTGCCAGAGTTGGTAGTGGGGGGCGTGGTTGAGTAGCAGGGCTGTGTGGTCCTGCAGGACAGGGAGGTGGTGGCACTCTGGGTTCAGGCTGAGCTTACCCTCTCAGGATGTGGTGAGCTCGTGGTGACTAACACGCCCTTCCCACCGAGGCTGATCCAGACAGCACCTGCCCCAAGGTCTCTGAAGGGAAGCAGTAGGCTGAAGCCCTTTAGCCTCAGTCACGCGTTCTGCATGAAGAACATGCAGCAGCACCTCCTTGGACCTCCTCTCACTTCACGAAGGGGAGACAGAACTGCTATCAGCAGCAGCAGCCCAAGGCTGATGCCTATGAGGCGGAGGTCAGCCACGCCCCCAACCTCCAACCTTCTTTCCAATTCTGACACCACCCATCCCTCCCGTGGCACTCTCAACTTTTCTGCTGGGTTCCATAATTCCCTGCAGTGGCCACACAGAACTCACGATAATACGATCATGGGGTTTACCAGGGAGGTAACAGGTTAGAATTCAGGCTCAGGAACACTCAGGATACAATTCTTTGATTAAGACAGTCTCCCCTCTGCCATGCCCGCAGGCACACCTCTTTGGCCCAGCCTCTCAGTCTGGCCTTTGCCAGTGTTACAAAGCTCTTCTAGCTCCACCAGCAAGCCTCCAGCCCGTGGGCACTGTCTCTGTGGGCCAGCAAGCCTGCTGCTCTGTCTTGAGCCAGTCTCTCGGTTCTGCTTCCGCTGTCTGTCAGTCGTCTCAGTGCAGGGATCTCGGGTCCAAGGATGAGCTCCACTCGACCTCTGGCTCTTCTCTCTTGATGAGTCACATCCCACCTTCTGCCTCTAGTAGGGCTCATCTCAAGCCTAGTAGAATGACAAAACCAACCAACCCTCACATTAGGGTTCCAGGCACCTTATTTGCATGGTCCCACCCCCATGGTACAAGGGTACCATGTAACTTATTTATATTACTAATAAGCTGTCCACAGCTGTGATAGGTCACCGGTACCTTGCATTTGCATAGCTCCACCCAGTCATCTGGTGGGAGTGACAAAGACCATGGCCAGAAGGGTCAGACCAAGTAATTCCCTACTCCGTACACTCACACAAGTATTTACTGGGTTGCTCAGACCAGAACAGGCTCCCTAGACACGTGCAGGTGTGGATGGTCATTCCAGGGGCACAGGCTCAGAGGAGGGAAGGAGCCTGGGACTTAGAACAAGACAGGAGCCCAGGCAGGCATGCCGGGCTGGCCTGGGTCAGGAAGAGATGGCTGCTGTGCTTTGAGTTTGGATGTGTAGGGGGCCTTGGACCGCTACTGAGGGTTTCAGGCAGGGGAGAAGTACGAGTGCATCCGAGCTCTGGACAGTGATTCGGGTGGTTGTGTTGAGGGTGGACCAGCAGCAGCAAAGGATGGAGATGGTCAAAACTGGGCTAACAGTTCCCCAAACCAGAATGGCCCAACACAATAACCACCTCCCGCTCATGTAACGAATGAATCAGTGTGGGTCTTTAGCCGGTAGGCTTCCTAGTAGGGTCCATGGGCCCGGGTCCCTTCTGCTGTGTGGTTCTGCAGTCCATGAGGAATGTGGAGACCCCTGCTGGTGGAGGTTGGCGTACACCAGCTGCTGTGCAGTCGACTGTGATTCTTGGTGACCCCATGTGTTACATACAGAGTGGAACTGCCCCACAGGGTTTTCTTGGCTGTAATCGTCACAGAAGCAGACTGTCAGGCCTTTCTTCTCAGGTACCCCTGGGTGGACTCGAACACCCAACTTTTGGTTAACAGCTGAGTGCATTGTACCACCCAGTGGTCAGCTCTGGATGTGGGCATAGAAGAGTGTCTCTGACAAGGCTGGTATTGATGGGACCTTGGCACCAACTAGAGCAGTGCAGAAGCCCTGGCTTGAGCATTCAACCCCCCGGGAGACCATGAGCCATGAGCTGAGGAGTGACTGTGTGCTGAGGAATGGTGGCAGTACGTGGAGACCACCTCTCATGGGTGAAGGCAGTAACGTGTGCACAGAGTCGTGGGGTGGACTCGAGGAGGTCTGGGGAGGATGAGCCCACCGGGGCCGAAAGTGAAGCTGCCAGAAAGAGGGATCAGCTGTCCACTGAGGTTCCCGGGCACAGTGGTGAAGGTAAGGCCCCAAGGAGTGAGCCCACAGGGAGACAGGAGCGGGGGGGAGTCCTCTGGAGGGGCCCCCTCATACTACACAGGGAGCTTCTCACATATTTGTCATAGTTTCCTTCTCGAATCAGATGGACCCATCTTTCTTTCTGCTCTGCCATTTCTGAGTCTGCACAGATGCCCGGCAGTCGGGGCCGTGGGGCCTCCCTGCAGGGCTGGTGCATCAGCCTGTTTCTAAGATGAGACCCAGAGACCCGCAGACACTGTGCCAGGGGATGGTCTTCACCCACTCTCTCCTCCCTGGCTTTTCTCCAGAAGCACGGTGGCTGCCACTCACCTGAGTTCGATCCCGGGTACCTGCCTCAAGTTTACAACGAGGAGGGCCACTGCGAGACAGCGGACACCCTCAGTTCTCTGGCCTTCAGTGAGCACGAACTGCCCCCCAACGTGCTGGACGGCTTGGGCTCTACAGTGACCGCGCTAGAAGGGCAACTGTATCCTGAGTCAGGTCTTCCTTCCTGAAAGAGCCAATGTGTATAAATTGCTGAATGGGGAAGTGAATTTGCTCTGTAGACCTTCACCCAAACCACAATTAAAAAGAAAAGAGCTCTGTCCATAGTATCACTCAGTCCTTATAAGGAAATGCTGAAATCACACATGAACAAAAGCCCAATCAAGTGGCCCAAACAAAAGAAAGTGTTCACATAATGTACCCTGCATGTATTATGGAAGGAAAACCATCCAGGTCCCTTGGAGTGGATAAGTTCTGATCAGATATATCTTTAAAGGAAGCCACGCACTTTACTGGTTTTCACTTGTCTATTTCCTTCTAGTGTAAATTAAGTGGTAACAGTTTCTTTCACAATCCTCTAAAATATTTAGACACTTGTATATATGGTGTGTAAATAGCAATTTTCTTGCTTGTTAGCTAAGACACTGGTCAAGCAAAATGTTAAATGCTGATGGGACACTTCAGCGTGTGTATTGGATGCCTAAATGCTGACATCAAATTCTTAAAACAATTGTGGTCATGAGCGTGCTCTTGGGTGAGTGCCCTTCTGCTTCTAGGATGAGTAAGGAGAAACGCATTTGTTTGCCATTGAATCGGTGCAGTATCATGTTCCGGTCAGTCTCAGCAACTCACAGTTATAACGTTGCCCTCCTTTCTGGAGGAGCTGTGCAGACACGCACTGTGAAGTGGTCTCAAGTGTTTACACGTGGTTACTTCACTCACCGCTCAGTGATTTGGGTAATTGAAACAGGAGAAGACCTATCCCCGAAGCTTTGACCGGCCAGTTCTGACACACAGGCACACAACAGCTGTGCAGCCACTGAGGGGCGCCGAGGAAATGCTGGCCAGCGTTCTGGGTAATGAGGGAAAAGCATTCTTTCTAGAGAAATATAATTTTTGAGTTTGAGCTGTTGGCAGGATTCAGTAGGGTGGTTACTACACATTCCTGGTTCCCAGAAAACAGACCTTGGGGTCAGTCTGGCCCACCATCTAGTTTATAAATAAAGTTTTATTGGAACACAGCTATGCTCATTTGTTTATTTATTGTATATGGCTGTTCTAGCTACCATGACAGAGTTAAGTAATTGTGACAGGTATCATATGGCCCACAAAGCTGAAAATAGTGACTTTTTGGCCCTTTTCAGAAAAAGCGAGGCACCCATTCCTAAGGCACTCTTAATTTTGGAAACTCCAGATCACGTCATTCATACTAAGACATACCCACAGTCTTTGTTGAAAACAAACACTGCCACACACTATTGGAAAGGCTTGACGTGTTTATCTTGAGACCCCTTGGCTGTGGGGAGGCCATTGAATTCCTGCCAGGCATGGGTGTGGGCAGCTGCCATGTGTGTCTGTGAATTCTTGCAGGCTTCCACACATTGTTTTCAAAAGTAGTAAAATAGTCAAGAAATGTTCAAGAATGCCAAATTTAACAATTAATGAGAACAAAATATTACATTTTGCAGATATTTAATTAGTCATTTATTATTTTGATTTTGCTATTTTCTTTGTGTATTTGAAAGCCAGTGTTTCCTTGCCCCAGATTTGACCGTTTCTGGGGGCCTTAGGGTTACGTTGGCTAGTGGATAAAGTGAGCCTCCCTTTTGGCATCATTAGAAAGTACTCTGGGCATATAATACTTCAGCCTTGCCCTTTAAATGTCAGGCTCTAATCTATTTTTTCCCCCAATGCTTCCCATGTTCTGCAGGGAAACATTTATGGGTGTTGCCTGGTTGTCCCCACAAGTTCATTCTCAAGGTCAAACCAAACCAAAACCAAACTTGCCGTGCATCGACTCCCACTCAGAGCGACCCTACAAGACAGAGTAGAACTGCCCCATAGGGTTTCCAGGGCTGTCAATCTTTATGGAAGCAGACCGCCTCATCTTTCTCCCGCAGAGAGATGCCGAGATGCCAGTGGGTTTGAACCCCTGACCTTTCGGCTAGCAGCTGAGCACTTAACCCTTCTGCCACCAGGTCTCCTTTCTCAAGTCCATCTGCGTGCTTACGAAGGTTTCCGTTAGAAACTTAGCAACGTCAGCACCAGGAGTTCTTGGTGAAAACTGTTACCTCCGATGGGGTTCACACGTGTTCATAAACTAAGCTGGTGCTGGTGAGGTCAATGAAGAAGGCAGGGAAGCCCAGAGAGTGAATGCTGTCGGGGAAATGCGGTTTCATTGACCACTTTTGTCTCTGTATGACCCAGCATTCCACACATAGCTGTGGCCTCGGAGCCTGGCTGGTCATCTGCGTTTCTTCCGGTTCAGCTCCCATCTGCAGGAAGGGCCCCCCTGGTTTTGTGGAGCTTCTCATCTGAGCCCTTTGCTGGCTTCCTGTTAGAATGCACTCAACACAGCAGCGCCTCACTTTTAAAATTTGCCTTTTCCACGAGAAACACTAACCAGGGTAACCTCCCTGTGAAGTAGATGTGACAACAGTGCTCTCAAAATGGCTCCCCCAGAATGTGAGGACAAGTGGGCAGCCCCCAAGGGAATCCAGGAAGACCAAGCAGCCCCGGACAAGGGCAAGAACCAGGAATGCTTGCACAGGTGTTGCTCAGAAGAGTAGGTGACACCGGATCAGTTTGGTCTGAATGGTTTTCCAAACAACATCGTTAATCTTTCTGCTTGCCTGGGCCCAGACCTGAGGTCATGCCTGACTGTTCTTTTCCTCACTTCCCCAAATCCAACCCATTAACAAATCATATCAAAATTACCTTCAAAGCATACCTGGCATCTGACCACCTCTAGCCCTGCACTGCTGTCTCCTGGCCCAGGCCCCCATCCTTGTTCACCTGAGTTCTTGCAAAGCCTTGTCACCCACTGGTCACCTCTTCATTCTGTTTGCTGCAGGAGGGCCACAGTGATGCTGTCAAAGTCAAATCACGTCCTTCTTGGATCAAAACCTTTTGTGTCCCCTGCCTCACATGCGGGAAAAACCAAGGTGTTTCAACCTCCTCCGAGGCCCTGCAGCCTCCTGGTTCTCCTCACCTGTCTCTCTCCCCACGACCCACTCTGCTCTGACCATCTTGGAGCCCTTCCTCACACCCAGTGAGCTCTGGCCTCAGGGCCTTTGCACGTGCTGTTTCCTCTGCCTGAAACACTGTCTCCGGATGCCTGTACAGCCCAGGCCACCTCCCATTCCTCTTTCTCTGCCTCATCTTCTTCCAGAACCCTTGTAGCCCTCTAACAAGGTAGGGATTTGTTGATTGTGTGTCTACAACCTAAGATCCAGGAAGGAGGATCTGTTCTGTTTTCTGCTGTAGCCTTAGTACCTCTAGCATTACCTGGTGTATTTTCCAAAACCCCAAAACAAACCCACTACTGTGGAGTTGATTCCGACTCACAGCACCCCTACAGAATGGGTAGAACTGCCCCAGAGGGTTTCCAAGGCTGTCAATCTTTATGGGACAAATTGCCACATCTTTCTCCCATGGAGTGGTTGGTGGGTTCAAACCACCAACTTTTGGGTTATCACCTGAGCGCTTAACCACTGCACCACTAGAGCTCCCAGTGGTACATAGTAGATGCTCAAAAAAAAAAAAATCTATATTATACGTGAAGTAGAAAAAAAAACAAGAACCTTTTCTCCTTGTCACCCTCCTGCCCCCCTTCCTGTGTCTGGGCTACTTATTGTCATTAATTTGATATGTCTCCTTTGAGGCCACTTTTATCCTGTCATAAACACACCTTCTGGCTAGCAGTCGAGTGCCACAGGCACTGCACCACCAGAACTTCCTTTACAAACACACATGCACACTCACATTCACACTTGTGTGTGCACACTGAAGTTGGAAGGGGCTGGGGAGGACAGGCAGCGACAAGGGCACGATGGCTGCATTATTCTGCCCCTGCCTGTGGGTGTTTATCAGAGAGCTGCATGGCAGCCTGGTCTTTGCTTTCACGTCTTGGGTTCTGTTCTATTTTTTTGAAGCATTTATCCTCACTTTGGAAAGTATTGACTGAATCTGTCATGTGATTTGTAAAGCGAGACCTGGACAGGCAGCTCTCTGCTTCTATTAGCTTTGCTGGCATTGGAGACATGAAGCACACATCTGCCTCTCTCCTTCCATCATCCCTTAATATAGGACAACACTGAGTGTGCCCTTAAAAACCAGATAGGTTACCAATAAGAAGAACGATAATAATGTATTTATAATTTAGTAACTGTAATTGTTAAGATGCTAACATAAAGTTTCTCATTTTGCAATGGGAAGGAGAAGCTGAAGTGAGAAATTAGTCCTGAAATTAATGTGGACATTAGTCAGGGAAATTAATGCTAGCAGCTGTGACAGATAAAGTCCCTTAACCCAGTGAAGGTTTAGTCGTCACACAGGCAAAGTCTTATCAGGGCAGTTTGGGCTTCCAAGTTCAGTGTGACAGGACAAACAGCTGGAGAAGGCATGCTGGTGCCTACATTCCATCACTTAGAACAGCAGCATCTAATTTAATTGTGACCTAATTGCAAGGGAGACTGGGAAGGAGCACAGGGATATTGAATGGAAATCCATGAAAGGGATTTCTATTGTTGTGTTTGTTACCAATTACATGTGAGAGTATGATTTAGATGGTGGAATTATGGAAAACTTGGGTGTGGCCCAAACATAATTGTGATTCCATCCCCAGTGTCCCATAGACAGGACCAAAGCATAGTGTATGGAAGACTCAGGCTATCAGTTTGAAGAGCATTGACTTGAGAGGAAACCAGGGCTTCCAATGTGGCTCCATCATTCAATGCCTGTGTGATCTTTATTAAGCTCATTCAACACTTTGAGCCCTTTGCTTTGTCTGTAACATGGGGGAAAATAACTATCTTTCTCATAAATTTCTTTTGAAAAATCAGTGGTAACACCACCATCACCATCATCTCCACCATCATCACCACCATCATCATCATCATCACCATCATCATCACCATCATTACCACCATCACCACCATCACCACTATCACCACCATCACCACCATCATCATCACCATCACCACCATCACCATTATCATCACCATCACCA